CTCCCTTTACATCTTTATTTCGCCCAACTCCCTTTCCTCACTCTAACCACTTTCTTCCTCTGCCAGTTTCAGGCGGCATTGGGCTCGGCAGCGCTGACGGCGGCAGCACACGGCGGCGACGGGCATAGTGGTAAGTCTCCGAATTCGGCTGCTGCTCCGTTTTTGAATGCTGCTGCTGCACAAGCCTTGACTCTTGAGTTTGATGTCCAATTTGTTGCATAAACTACAGATTTATTGTTGATTAGAAGGATCATTTTGTATCTGAATTGCATTTAACGAAATTGGTTCCTTCAAACGTCCACAGATAATTGTAAACTCAGCCATGTATATAAAAAAAACTGTAGGATTGTTGTGTATTTAATTTTCGAGGTATTAATTCCTGATATGCAATATCCTAAACCATTAAATTGAAACAAGCATAAAGATTTATTTTTCAACAGTTAAGAATTTGCTTTCCTTGTTCTGTCGGAGGATTATTTTCCTTCCCTTTTCCATCTTTCATCTTTTACTTTGTCAAATAAGGAAAAATGACCCCTACCTTCAATTTAGCTTCCAACCCCTTGATTTCTCCCTATTCAGGTTTCCAAGATCTGATTCTTATATGGGCTGCGATTAATTGTATCAACTTAATTTAAAAATAAAAGAGCTAACAAAATCCGATTAAATAATCTATGAATTCTAAACTAGAGAAGTCCTTATCAATTAAATTTGTTTATATTTGAATTAATGTTGTCGATATCAACTTACTTTAGGAGCAACGGTCCCGAAAATCTACGTTCTTCAATCAGATTTCTTTCCGACTACTGTAGTATGAAAATTCGACTGTTTTCCTGGTCGTTTGGCAATTTAAATTGTCCGACGACATTCATATTTCCCACAACTCTGAAACTGTCGGAATGTAGTCGGAAAATTGACTGTTTCAGTAGTCGAAAAATGGTGATCTTCTGGTAGTGCAAATACAATTTGTAATATAATATTTTTGTGATTCATTTTTAAAAATATATACTCATTGAGATGGGTTCACGGCTTCACGCGCTACGCGCATACAGAACGCTTCTAACATGAGAAAATTATAATTTGCAATCTGGAGAATATGTAATATTTTGGGTCATAGATGCATAAATAATTTGTTGCACTGTCTCCTTCATTCAAGACTCAAGAGGGTTTTTTACCCCAACTCTCCAGAAATCCTAACTCAAAGATTTATCAAAAGTTCAAATTTTTGGAGCTGTGGAAGATGTACGGTTCCAACCCTAGCACCGACGATGAAGAGCGAACCGCTTTCAGGAAGGCTGAAAAGAAATACAAGCTGTATTATGACAATACCCGAAAGTAAGCTTTTGGAGTTCGATAATTCTTAACAAGAATGTTTTTCATTCTTTTGTACTTTTTTTCCCTTTAACCGATACAACAGTTGATTTACGTTAATGGGGCATTATTATGTTGTTGAACTCAGGAAAAAGCAACCAAGACCAGTGGATTTGTCGGAGGTAATTGATTTTAAGTCAATTTCAGAGTCTTACCATCGAAATGGTGAACTTCCTTCAGGCATTTTCGCAATTCAATGTGATTTTGATAGTCTTGTCTTCTGCTTGGAGAGTCATCCAGGGTTTTATTTCATTCCTGGAGCATTAACTGTTGAGGAGCAGTGCCGATGGATAAAGGAGAGTTTAACAAGTTTTCCTCAACCCCCAAACAGGACCAACCATAATGCAATTTATGGTCCTCTACAGGACTTATTTGCTGCTGCCAAGGATAATAAAGCTTTGATTCAAGAAGATAAGCACTGTGGTACCAATAATTCTGAGGTGGAAATCATCCAAAACGACATAAATTGTCCGAAATGGAATTTTTTTGATCAATCAGGTGCATTATCTAGAGAAGTTACATGCAAATCAGTGCCAGCCTCTGTTTTGCTTCGTAAGTTAAGGTGGAGCACCCTTGGCTTGCAGTTTGACTGGTCGAAACGGAACTATAATATTTCTCTGCCTCACAAAAAGATACCTGATGCACTTTGCCTGCTGGCTGAAAGAATGGCAGCAGCTGCCCTGCCTTCGGGTGAAGTATTCCAAGCAGAAGCAGCAATTGTTAATTACTTTGGGCTAGGCGACACGCTTGGTGGCCATGTTGATGATATGGAGAAGGATTGGAGTAAACCTATTGTTAGTATGAGTTTGGGCTGTAAAGGTATTTTCCTTATCGGCGGAAAGTCTAGGGACGTTCCTCCTGTTGCAATGTTCGTTCGAAGTGGGGATGTTATTCTTATGGCAGGACAAGCAAGGGAATGCTTCCATGGCGTCCCTAGGATCTTCACTGATAAAGAACACGCCGAGATATCCTCCCTTGAATTGCAGTTTTCTGATGAAGATGACTCTGCTTTCTTAGAGTACATTAGGACTTCTCGAATCAATATCAACATTAGACAAGTATTCTAGACTTATTTTTCTCTTGAAAGTTCTGTAGAGATGTAATACAACAACAAATCTAGAGGAATTTCACAAGTGAGATCTGGGGAGGGCAGGGTGTACGCAGACTTTACTCCTATCTTGAGAAGGTAGAGATGTTTCAGATAGACCCTCGGCTCAAAGAAAGATGATGTTCTTGACAATTTTGAAAATACCCATATGGTAGGTATGGAAAAGATTGGAGAGTACAAAACCAATCAAATGATTGCTTCTGTAGAGATGTAATACGAAGTAAGATTATTTTGCACAGAATGAGTAACATTATTTTGCTTAAAGTTCTCATATAATTTTGGTATTATACGGGATGCTCTACATGGATCTAGGGCTGTGCATAATTTGGTAAATATCGAATTATTGTACCGAATCCGAAAATTTTGATATTTGGTAGTCGATATTTTGATATTTGGTATGGTATTTGGTTTAAGTTCTAAAAAAATTTGGTACAGTCAAACCTCTCTATAACAACCTCGTTTGTTCCGATACTTTTTGCTGCTATAGTGAAGTGTTGTTATATAGGACATATATTATAGCATAACATAAAAATCAGTTCCGAAAAAAATTGGCTTTTATAGTGAATGGTTGTTATATAGAGATGTTATAGAGAGGTCTGACTGTATTAGGTATGGTATTTTGTATTTGCAAAAATAATACTAAAATATCGATACCGTACCGAAATATATAATAAGTTGCACAATACACATTATTGATTATAACATACTAAGTTACATAATACTTTTCTTTGGTATGCATGTTGAGGTTGGCAGTAAAGCCTTTGTACTTCTTTAGGGAAATGAAGGAACAAGGTAGGCTGCAGATTTTGACTCTTTTTCTCTAGAATGTCAAGCATCTTAATGTGATACTTTTACGGTTTTAGAGTGTTTCTTCTCGTGTATTGAGTTGCATCTGTTGGATTATTCCTTGCTGTATTCTCTAACTCCGGCAATTAATTATAAGCAAGTAACAAGATATTTTTAATGATTAAATTTATTTCTTTATGTACCTTTTTTCTCTCTATGGGTTGATACATGTAGTTTTGGATAATTTTTTTGTCAATAGTTATGTGAGCTTAGAACGTTTTTATATTTATATTCGTGACTACTTTAATTAAGAATATTACAGTATATGGCTTTATGCATTAGTTAATATTGAAACTGAAAAAACTGAAGTTACCGTACCGAATAAATCAAAATTAAAAGGAGAAAAAATCGAACCATACTTAAATATAATTAGGTACGGTATTGATATAGCATTTTAAGAAACTGAAATCGAACCAAAATATTTAAATATCGTACTGTCCGACAAACATCTCTATATGGATCCTGTGTTTTGAAGCATGTATGAGTGGACAATATGGAAGCAATTATTGATATTGTTTGGTGATATCGTTACTTACCAATTTCCCATCCCCCCTCCCCCAAAAAATATTCTGTAATACTTATTTCTGATTCTATTAGTTGCTTTAATAATTAATGTTTGATACAGTCAAATCTTTGTATAACAATCTCGTTTGTTCTAAATATTTTTAGATGTTATAGTGAAATACTGTTGTAGAAAATATATATTATAACATAACATGAAAATTAGTTTCAAAAAAGCTTAACTTTTATAGTGAGATGTTGTTACATAGGGATGATATAAAAAAGTCTGAGTTTACTAAGAGTTATGACTATGTTCAGTTACTTTAATCAGAGAAAAGTAGTTTGGTGACTCTGCGTTACAGTGAGTAAAGTTTAGTAACTTTATATTTAGTGGGTAAAGTTTAACTAATTTATTTTGAAATGGATAAAGTTTAGCTAAATATTTGGAATAATGACTTCATATCAGAATGCTCAAAAGTTAGATCCAACCTGAATAAAATCTCCAAGAATGCAATTTGACAAATTGTTGTTTCACTTTGCAATTCACTATAACGCAGATTAAAAAAATTTGCGGCGCGGGGGCGTGTGTGACGGGGTTGGGGTAGGTGGCTCAAAAAAACGGAAAAATAAAAAATTGAAATTGAAAGGGGTTGGGATTAAATGTAAGGGTAGGTTAAGTTTTTAAAAAATGTTTTCGTAATTTTTTTTAGGAAGTCATTTTATTTCAATTTCAGAAAAATATGATATTTAGAAAAATATTTTACAAACTATTTTGTACAATCAAACAAAAAAATAGAAAAAACTTTTCCGAAAAATGATTTTCATCATACCAAACACACCCTTAATTTCAAGCAAATATATCATCAATAACCAGCAAATTAACACAAAATATGATATTTAAGATTCAAATCTGCATTTAATATATTTTGAAAAATATTAGAGCTCAATGTGACTAATCTTTCACAATCTGTTGGTTTTAACTATTCACTCCGGTTCAATTTAAATAACACACTTACCTTATTAGTCCGTTCTAAAAAAATAACATTTTTCATATGTGAAAATAATTTGATTTTAAACTTTTTATTTTATACACATTCACTTTATCCTTAAAAAGACATTTTTATAATCACACAAATATCATAACCCATAAAACTTTTTTTTGGGAGGGGGGGGATGGAGATCACAATAAATTCGTTTTCCCTTTTCTACAAAATCTAAGGGTTATAATGGATTAAAGAAAAATATCAAGCACTTGGCGCAAACAAAACACAAAACCATACCCCTAATCCAAACAAACCCTAAATCTACTTAAAATGATCATAACAACCCTAAATACCCAAAAATAAAATGATCATTTGATTTTCTCAATAATATCAGAAATGACCTTGTCCATGTCCAATGCCTTCATCGGCCCAAATGGCCTCTTCATATCCAAAAGGCTAACAAATTTCTCCCCATTTTCACCAACCTCCCTTATTTCAAAGCAACCCCTTCTCGGCTTTTCCGGGTTGACCCGAACTTCCAAACCGGGTACTCCATTTTCCAACCCTTCTTTCACCTTCACAGCCCTAATCTTGAACTGGTTGCACTGAGTGCAGTGCTCAATCACAACACACTTTGAACCAGAGTCAACAGCAGCATTGACTACGGGTTTGGGCTCGGATTTTGGGGTGGTTTTTTTGGCCCGTTTGGGTTTGGGTGGGTCAGGGTCAGTGTAGTTGGGCTTTGAGTTGACACGGCGAGTTGAGCTTCGAGTTACACGGGTCGTGGGCTGCTCCATATTTGGCCTTTTCTTAGGTGCCATGGAAAATCAGAGTGTTTTTTCTTCTGTGTGTGTTTTAGGGTTTGTTGTATTGGGTATTTTGTGGATTGGAATTGACTTATTTATGACTTGTTCAGCTTCTTGTGGACGCCAGCTTTTTGGTCTTTGGATTTTAGTTTCCCGCGTTTTTTGACGGCTAGGATTAATTGAGAACTTTTTGGAAACCAAAATGCCTATATTCCAACTTTTGGGGATCAACATCAGGATAGTAAAATTTTAGTACTATCTCAATTTCAAACTATTTGACAACTTTATGCAAATATTTTATATTCATTTTTCTTCTATTTGGATACATTTTATTTCAACATTTGTAACTTACATTTGTTATTAAGACAAATTAAGGATACTCTAAAATTGAAGATTCTCCAATGATTTTACCACAAAGTCTAATTTACAAGTAATAATTACTGAGCTTTAATTTCAACTAGTTGATATCGCCTATATGAATCATTTGCTTTGACCATAAACTAATCAACTTTAAGTATGTCGCTTTTTTCTATAAAAAAAAAAATTGGTATTAGATAGCATTTTAATGCATGTTTTAGATGTAATAGAACTATAGAAGAATGATCAGCATAAACATCAAAAGCGTTTTATATTACACGAATCGCTTTAAAGCTATACAGAGTTTGTCAACAAATAGCTGAAGAAGATGAAATATTGTCCCGGCACATCATTAGCTGAAGAACACTTGTACATTCATGCATTAAGCGCGAGAGCAACCAACTCATCTGGATTTTACAGTTGTAGGATTCAAATTTTAGAGCGGCTCTTAGCAGCATTTCGTCTTGCACAGCATCCCACGAAGTAGATTATCGACTGATACAAGAATTAGCAGATGACGAAAATGAGTAGAAAAAACCACAAATGCCATATCATGTATATAGCCGTAATTCTCCAACAAGAAAAAGGAGTCAATATGATCATTTTTTGGCATCTTAATTGAAGGAGTAACTTACCAAGACGACAAAGAGAATCACATTGAAGATAGCAACCACTCTCCATTCAGTTTTCATGTATTGTGCAACTCCAGCCCTGAGAATAATGTATTGTAGGAGAAAAGCCATGAGCTGCATAATAACCTTACATGAACGGAAGAATGACAAGACCAGAAGACGATCCTTACTTGCAGGAATCACAGTTATAGCACTTGACATTCTTTGAGTTTTTGTAAAGCTTGCAGTCCTTGTTGGAACTCGTCGGATGAAAGCTCAAGTCATAGTGTGATGCATTAACAGCAGGGTAACCACACCTACAAGTGGAACATAGTATATCTGAGTCCTTGGCATGGGATGATGCCGGGAAGTACTTGGATATCAATCATAAGAGAGATAGAGGTTTGTGAAACAACAGACAAAGAATATATCTAAAGTACAAAAGTTGCATATTTTTAGCATATTACTCAAGAATCTTCATCCACTGGAAAAATATCAGAATCACTTTAACACTTGTCTGACAACACATTTTCCTCTTTTTGTAACTATTGATTCACAATGTGAGCTTGTGTAAAATGACTTCCAGATATGAATGTTTTCCGCACAAGTATATTTAAAGTAGTCTAAAACAAAATAGCTCGCAAAAGAAAGAAAAGGAAAAAAAGGGCAACTTACTCAGAGGGTGGTCTGCAGCAACCAGCTTCAATAGGTGTTAGTTTTGCTAACTTATATTGCTTGAGAGTCTGCAGCAATGTAGCGGTGGCATTAATATGATTTCAAAATTATAGATCATGATCAGGTTCTCAAGTCGGAAAATGACCTTGTATCTTCTTGATAGGTTACTGCAGTCGTCAGTCTTGACAAGACAACTTTTCAGGTGCTTCCAGTTATGGGTGTTATTGAGCTGAAACATATGAGCAAATGGTTAAGCCTAGCATGAATCTTCATCTTAAGCATGGGAAATAACCACTATAATGGTTAGAAATGACGCCTTTCTATAACCTGCAGCTTCAAATTTTGCATATAAACAGGTGCTTACTTGTTTTAGAAACCATGAACTGTAATCTTGAAGCTGATACTCCTTGTACCTGGCCAGACAAAAACCATTAATGATACACACTTCCATAATAGCAGAGGACGTAAATAAAAAAGATAAAGAACTGGAATTTCTTGCGAGCGTCTCCATGAAATATACCTTAATCCATTAACACTATGACCTGAGCCGTTATTCGTCACAATGAACCTGAGACAAAGCAAACCAATAGGTGTCACCTCAAATATGTAGGTATCAGGCATTTCTGACATCAGCATGCAAATAGATACTGTGGTTGCCACCTTAAGCCAGTTAACCGTAACACAATGGTAGTTGCCACTTAATGAAAGATTAAATATGAGAAATCAAGTTTAGAGTTCCATGTTCACGACAGATTAAGAGAAAATTAGAAATGAAGTTTATTGAAAACGAAGCCAAAACTCTTGCATATAGAGATTTTACTTGAAAGGAAAGAAGTGACTGAAAAAAATAATTGTGAAGTTAAAATATTTGCTAACTAGCTAGTTTAGCTTTGGTCACTGAGTGAATAAAACTAAGGCATCAAAATCTAGATCATTTACTGGGTGTTTTTGTTCCTCCTTTTTCTTGCTCAGTTGTAACGCAGAACCTCAGAAAGGTGACGGTATAATCTCAGGAGACCTAGCCCTGAGGGCTTTGGTTCAACAGCAAAGGTAGTGCAGTGGGGAATATGTGGTAGGCGCACGTCACGAGCTTGAGTCCTACTAAGAAACAAGCCAGGTGTTTAATTGGAGAAGGGTAAAGGGGAGGGTTCATTATCCACTGAGTTTTAAAGCTAGAAACAAAGATTTCTTGGTTATTAGAAAAAAAAAACTGAGCAGTCCTATGAACATTACTCCTAATGTTACTACGTCTACGTCACCTGCTGAAACCTGAGCTATAATAGTTATCTAAGGTACATTTTTCATATCTGAGCAGTCCTATGAACATTACTCCTAAGGTAAATTTTGGCACATAAAAGTCATCTAAATCAAGACCTAACCCGGGTGGGGTGGAGTGGGGGGGTGGGGCTTTGCACAAACATCATCCTGTACCACTCTGTCAGCCACCAGGCTCCTATTAGGCCCGAAAGAGACTATCATTGTTTCGATGTGTTGCTGTGGAGGTATCAAACAAGAAAAGTTACGCTTATTTTCAGATAGTGGCCTAATTTGCAAAATATGGAGTTACTTCTGTAACACTGCAGGTGTGAACATCGCCAAAAGGCCTTTGGACATGTTCTATCCAATTGCCAGTTAACAAGGCCAAAGAACAAAAATTCTTTAGATGAATGTTACAGGTCATTCCATCTATGGTTTATTGGAGATTTGGAAAGCTAGGTGAAAAATCAAGTATGATAAGAAAACTCGACGAAAAGAATGGATCAAACCTAAGGTAAGTTTCCAAAAATAGATAATTCTTTAGGCTCCCTACTCAACATGTACCCAAGTATTGGACCAAAAAACCTATTCAAATGATCAGAAGAATTAACCAAAAGTTTCAGTAGAACTGGTCAGATGGGAGAAACCCCTGAGATTAAAGCTACAAAGTTTATGGAAGCTGCCGAGAAACGGGGAAGAATATACAAAGGATGGTGTGATAAGAGACACAGCACGGATTCTGATCATGGGTTATTCTGTCCATCGGCAGAGATAGGCACAAAAGCAGAAGTGTAGGCAATGCTTTTTGGGCCAAAATAGTGCGAAGAAAACTCAGTTGTGGATATTTTAATATAGAAATGGATTCTTTACAATAAGTCAAAGAGATTGTAGGAACTGATAAGCTATCATGGCAAGTGCATGATGCTACAGTAGAAGCCAGAAATCTATTGGTGGAGGTCAATGTCATGGAGAACTGAACATGTCTACAAAGAAGCTAAGAAGGTTGCCAAATTGGAAACTAATCATATTTATCAGAAAGTCAATAAGAACTACTCACTTTTCAGAGACATCCCCATGATACAAAAGGACACTTAAGGTTCTAAAAGATGCAATGTCCGACCTTCAGGATAAGACCAAAAAAATAATATGAGTAAGGCAACTTAGTTGTTTTTCTTTTTTCTTTTTTTGGTAAGTAAAGGTTTACTTGATCCTTAGTATAGATATAATTATTTCCTCACATTGTATGAAGGATGCATCCTCCATTTTAGGATTATGCATTAGGATTAAACTGCTTCCGGCAAAGATAATAGGTTCAGATTCAGATGTAAAGGAGTAAGTATGTTCATTCCTTGTATAGACTATGAGGAGGTAAGGCAATAAGTTCCTTCCTACATGTATTTTCCTTTATGGATCTTAATAGCTACTTGGTCCATTTAACTCAAAAAGAAAAAGGCTTTGACCGGTGGTACTAGAGCTTTCCAAATCTGAGAAAATCTATGCACCACTTGACTCTTTTTAAAGCTCATTTTAGTATATCCAAAGTAGTACTCCACAAAATGGGTCCATAGCTCAGTGGTAGAGCATTTGACTGCAGATCAAGAGGTCACCGGTTCGAACCCGGTTGGGCCCTTTTAGTAATTTTATTTTCCTTTTTAAAACGACATTAGAAGTTGTACTCAACATCTAAGCATACGGCAAGCGGGGACAATGGATCATGAAGAGACACACATACTGACCGAACCTATAAACAACTAGTTAAGGATATTCATCATTAATGTTTGCTTTCTTCCTAGGTTCCAGTCAAGGGACCAACCCAGAGGCGATGTCTTACATTGCTATAGCTATTGATAGACTGCCTAAAGAGCCGTCAACAATATACAATCATGGCCCTTATTAGATAATGTTACCTAATAAGGAGATAAGGAGCAAAACTAGCTAGTTCTAGGAAAGGTAAACACAAAAAGGTAAAAACATTACATCCCAAAATTTATAATTTTAGTAAAGACATTAGAATAAAAGTCTCTTTCTATCCTATGTAATTTGAGATCAATAAAAAAGTATGAGACTGTCACAAACCAATTCTGTAAAGCCAAAAACACAAAATTTAATACAGAACTGATTAGTATTTGTTACAGATTCAGTAGCAATATTCAAAGTTTGGTAAGAAGTTTGTCACTTGCAAAGTATACAGCAAAGAAAACGAGCAG